GAGAGCCAGCTGGGCAGCCTGTCGCCTGTGTCGCCTCCCACGCTGTATCTGTCCATCATGCCTTCTATAGCGCTTCGGTTGGGGGCATTCTATCCAAGGCCTAGCTGGCTTGCTTTTGCATTTTATACCAAATCCCACACTGTTACCTGTGAAGCCACCAGAAGTCGCAAGGGAATTGTCAATTACATGCAACATTTTTATACTAAGGTGTTTCGCTTTGTAATTTATTTTTTATTTTTTACATAGAGTGGCTCGGATATTTGGAAATGTATATTGAATACATTCATATTCTTATTTAATAGCAACTTGATGAAGGCTACATGATTTAAATTGATAGCTCCTAGCATATGGACAACTAAAAGTCTTCTGCAGAAAAAAAATTTTTTTGAGAATTAAAGCAAAGTTGTTTGGTTTTTGTTTTTTGAGGTAGGATTTCTCTGTGTAGCCTTGGCTGTCCTGGACTGGCTTTGTAGACCAGGCTCTCCTTGAACTCACAGAGATGCACCTGCCTCTGCCTCCTGAGTGCTGGGATTACAGGCGTGTGTCACTGCGCCCGGCTAAAGCAATGTTTTTAAAGACCCTTCCCCTTTGGTCTTTGCCTGAGAGAGCTGCCGGTCAGTGGTCCAGCCCTTACCACTCAGTTCTCTCACAAGTGCCTTCCTGGCCGGCCAGTGCTTCCCGGATCTCGTGGGCAGTGGACAGACCTGGCCTAAAAGACCAAATCCTGCAATGGTGAACAATGACAGGTCTGCCCACCCATCGTTTTCCGTTTCGTTTTCCCATCTTGCTCACTGGACGCACTGGTCAATTCACCACTTTTGATATCCTCACCTTCAGTGGAGGTGTGACGGTGTGTGACATGAACAATTCCCTTTGCACCTGGTGACGTTCCACAAAGCCAAACACTGGAAAGAACACTTGTTGGATCTGTGTTTGTGTTCACTGAAAGAAGGTTTTAAAATATCATCTTTTCTATAGCAGTTTCTTTAAAACATGCTAGGTCTAGTGTCTTACCTGTTGGAAGTTCATGGGAGTCACACAGGGAAGCTCCCCGCCCCAGACGGTGCACAGAGGTGTGAGCTGTGCTGAAGAGCTCTGCTACATGGCCCTTCCCGATTCCCTGATCTGTCTCTGTCACCCACTAACTTCTTATATGGAAAGGCACGTTTGCCTGTCGATTTGTTACTGTGCCAATAGAAACAGGAGCAGTTTTTAATTCAGTCTTAGGTAGTTTTCTGAGGATCGCTGAGTTTTAGGAGCACTCTGTTTGCCAAGTCAGCATGACAGAAGTCACCCCATGATGGGGGTCAGCGAGAGGCAACCCAGAATAACTTACCATTGATTATCTGTGATCTGTTTGCTGAAAGATCACTTTAGATACTTTTATACCAAAAAGTTCCCACTGGCGCCTTGCCGTGTGGGCTCCCCCTCCCGCCCCACGCCTGGTGGTTTGGGCTCTCCTGAGCCCGTGGCGGCGTGGGCGATGTAATTAGTGTGTCTCTGCCATGCAGGAACACTGAAAGCGTATAGTCTAAATACCTTTGATAGCTGAAATGGTTAATATTTAATGAAATTTGTTGGTACTCATTGTATATTTGGTTTCTTTCTTCTAATAAAGATTTCCATAAGAGACAGATAAAAAGACTACCTTTTGATTTCTTTGAGATAGAAAAGAGGTGGGGGGTGCTTGCATTTGCATGCATTTGTGTGGGGAGAAGGAAGGCAAGCTTGGGTGCCCTTCTTCTCAGGCACCATTCATGTTGGGTTGGGTTGGTTGTTTGGAAGGGTTTCTTTCTCAATTAATTATTCTTTGTTTTTTGTAGATTGGCTGTGGGGATTTCAACAAGGCCTTTCATTGGCCTGACATTTTCAGATTAGGCTGGGCTGACCCCAGTGAGCCCCGCAGATCTTCCTGACTCTGCCTCCCAGGGCTCAGGTTATAAACCAGCACCAAGCTGCCTGGCTCTTGTGTCTTTGGAATTCTTTCCAGCCTGGCTCCTGGAGATTTAATTCACACTGAAGCAGCAGGCACTCACACACTGAGCTGCCTCCTCAGCCCAGCTCTGGTTTTAGATCTACCACACAACATCTCCTCTGTACCAAGTATCAAGGTCTTCAATATCTAGATTTATTTAAAATTGTCCTGTAACCATGTACTGTTGAGTGAAAGAAAATAAAATTATACAAGTAAATAAGTCCAAGACAGGTGAGGAAAGAATGGATTGGGAGGGGTGTGGCCGCCAGCCACTGACCTGGCCTACAGTCTGCTCACTTCCTCATTTGCTTTCACTGACATTCACAAGAAAATTACCATTTTCAAGGCAAAGAACAAGTCAGAATGAATACTCACAGTAGCTCTCTGAAGCAAGATTAAATGTGCTGAGCGCTGGCCTCTTCTAAGTTGAAACAGCATCATTTTATGGGTTGAATTATGTGTTCAATCTTCAAAATTGGTTTCCTTTTTAAATTTAATGAGTCTCTTCCCAAAGATAACAAAAAACACTATTCTTACCCTTTTCAAAGCTCTTAAAGTGTTATAAACCTAATAATATATCTGTTGATATAGGTGGTGATATTTTTTTTTTAATTTGAAATAGAAACATAGGCTTTTTTTTAAGATGAAATCTAATTTTGGGTTTAGTGCTAGTGACTTCTACTTTTAGTTGATAAAACACTGATATTGGTAAATAAATTATATAAAATCAGTCTGTGACTGATTTGGCTTTCTACCTAAAGCTTAGAGTTTATTAATAAAGTGAAACCACACTATAAAGGTTCTAGAATCATCCAGGATAACATGGCTTATTTAAACTGGATTACAAAAAAAAGGTTCTGTGCAACAGCCCTTTCCCGCTCTCATGTAGGGCCAGACAGCACTCATTCCAATGTGTGTTCTTTTGCTCTTATGATGGAGCCTCAGGAAATTGCTCTTAAATTCTAACCAGGCAGAGTAATTATCTCCATTATTATCTGGTTCTGGATTGAGGAGCATGCTTTATAGATCAGTCTTGCTTGGAATAAGATATGGGGACATAATTGAACCAAAACCATTACTGCAGTCTGTGGTATACCTTAACCTGTTTCCCAGTTTCTTGCAAATATTAACCTTGCATGTTTGTACTTTTCAAGTATGGCTATCGGGTTACAGTAATACAATGTAATAAGCTATTAATTAAAATATAAGATCAATATCTCAGATGCATTGAAATCCACAGCTTTCTGTCTTTCAATCCAATTTTCATTATGCTGATTTAATTAGGAAAAGAATTATATACAAAATATATCAGGAATAAATTATTTCTTCAAAAATTGTTTTCCATATATGCTTTTAATCTTAAAGCTGAAATGGGGATTGCAGACTTTTCTCTCAGGATCCAGCTGAGTTGCCAGGGAACCTTAGCGAATCAACACTCAGAAAACAGGAGCCTCTTTTAGACGAATGCAAATCCATCATTTCAAAGATGGTTATGCCCTCTGACCCTGGGTGTCTGGATCGAACTGCAGATGAACGTCCTTCTTCCAGTCTGCCTGGCCAAAGTGAAGCATCCCCTTCCTCACTGAGAACTTCCCAGCTGCTTAGAAGGAAAGGTGGTCAAGGCAGTTGAGACCCTGGCAACATCTTCTATAGCAGTTTCTCTACAGGGAATGCAGGCTGTCATGTGACACATTTACAAGCAGACAATTAGATTTCATGAGCTGAAGTCACTAGATTCTTTAAACCTAACCCTGGCTCTGTTTTCTTTTTTTATATACCCACTGCATGAACCATAATAATTTAAGCAAGTGAGGAAACTGGGAAAACCCTTTCTGTTCAAAATTATGTCTAGCTTAATGCTTATAATGACAGCTCAGCAAGAGCTAGGGTGTTGACACTTGCTGTTCAGGCCTGGAGACCTGAGTGTGAGCCTTGGAATCCATGTGGAAGTGGAAGGAGATAACAGACTTAAAAAGTCCTCTCTCTCTGTGTGTGTGTGTGTGTGTGTGTGTGTGTGTGTCTGTCTGTCTCACACACAGGCACCTACACATATTCGTCACATACATATGCACATATCATACACATGTACATCAGACACACATACAATAATAATAAATTTTAAATGAAAAAAAAAATCTGTGGTTCTTCCCTGTCTCCTGGCCCCTTGCTGTTAAGTAGCACCGTGGGTCTTAGGTGAGGGAGGCTTATCAACTCGGAAAGCTGTTTGTCAACTGCATGTAAACAAATGTGGAGCCTGGGCTTGTTTCATTGTTAAAATAATCTCGGGATTGCCATGTGCCACCTTCTTCTGCTTAGATGACTGTCCCCTGCTGAGGCGGTGTGTGCACAGAAAAGAACCCAGGTGAGATGCTGGGCAAAGCACTGGTATCCACACAGGGCACAAAACCCTGGAGACATGCAAAGAAATCTCCAGAGACCACAGAGGGCAATAATGCGGGCATCGGGCCTACAGAAAAGGCAGCTCTGCAAATTAAAAGGCAGTAATTAAACAAGTGAAAATCGTTTTCTGACATCTAATGAACAGCACGGAGCAGACTGTGTTACAATATAGCTAATCACTTGGATGTATTTAGCCCAAATAAATAACAGAAAAGAATGGACGCCCCAATCTGGTTCATGGTTAAAGACTAAAAGCATCCGCCCCTTAGAGGGCGAAATGTTTGCTGCCTCCATAGGTGTGTTCTCTTTGCTTTCTACACCAATAGATTCATGTTCTGCCCTTCCCACTGCCATCCAGCCTCTTCTGCTCTTGTCCCCTCACCCACAGAGAATCAAGAGCTCCTGCCACCTTGAGAAGGAAATGGAGGTGGGAGAGGAAAGGGAAGAAAGCGACATGAGGCCCAGTAGCTGGGAGGGCATGTTGGAGTACCATGCCCTACGTGAGTCCTGAATGACAGGAGGGCATCTGGCAAACCACGGCCTGATGCTTTGTGCCGCATCTCACTGCGCTTCTGCTCCAGTGACCTCCTGTGTGGCCACAGCAAGGCGTGTAAATGCCTGGAAG